TTTTTTTGACGTCATGTGACGTCAGGGGTGTGTCCAAGGGTGTGTCTGCACTGCTTTATGTCTATTTAAACCCTCTCTGTTCTTATCATTGTGTCATTGCTATGCCTGATGAAGGGACCCTGTGTGGCCCCGAAAGTGCTTGTGTAACTGACATGAGTTTGCAATAAAATCTACGAACTTTGATCCTATAAGGATTTGGTGTGCTGGTGACGTTTCTGCAATTATCTGTATTTGGCGGCGCCATCCGCAGTCATTTTCTTTTTTTCTTTCCCGGTCAGAAGCCCCCCCCCGGGACGAATCCCATAGGCGTCGGTGAGGACCACCCGTCGCAGCCGACCCACCGTAGCAGAGTCTGCATGCGCTCGTCGGTCACCCAGGGGAGACTACAAGGATCTACAGTCATCCCGCCTGTCTCCAGAGAAAATGTTTTAGCTCCTTACTCCTGACGCTAGGCAAAAAACGGGAGACTTGTCAGCAAGTGAGGGGTTGGGCCACCAGCAGGGGCCGCCCCTAGGCTGTCTTGTCTTTTATGTGCCTAGCGTCCTACTCCTGCAGGTGGCGATATACCCTACCATTCAGGATCTACGATCTGTTGCCCTGTGTCCTTCAATGAACGGGAGAGAAATGTATTAAAACCCAAGCACTTCCTTGTTAAAGGAGACAGAGCATTGTCACCATGAATCTGTGCTTCCATGGCAGACTACAAGAGAGCATGCCGACTTAACCAGGATCACACATCCTGCATGATCCGTTGCAGAGAGAAACACCTACCTCCGGAACGCACACCAAATGTTCAGATTGATAGCAGATCTTGGAGGGAAGTTCATCACATGCCTGAGCCTGCAAAGAAGCTCCCCAGGCAGCATCGTTCTAAAGTATTCCCATAATCATCCTACAGGGTGGTTTATGTTCCATTGCAAGGAATCTCCCCAGACACAGGCTCCACTATGGACACACTGGATGTGCGTGTTTCATCCTCAGGCATGGCCTACCCCAGAGCCTCAAACCAGAATACAGTGAGAGGAGGCCCAGCACCCTATGTCCTGCACCACTGAGAAGACAGAATGTACCCGCTAGAACAGGGATTTCCAGTACTACCTTCTACACACGGGCAGCAGGTAACAAAACACCATCACGACTGGACCCGCACTATATAGCACCAAGGCTGGGCATCTAAAAGAAACTGCCATGTAATCAAATTAAACCCAAGTTTAGCCAGTTTAGCTGCAAGACTGGCTTGTACGCTGGTCTTTGGCTTGTGAGGGAGAGGCCTCTGGCATCTACAGTTGACCTCAAGGAAACAAAAGACAGCATGTTTGCAGGGGCAGGAAACAAGAACTGAAGTCACTGGCTCCTGGAAGTCCTTTTAACCCCTTCGTGACGGGAGACGTACTGTACGTCCAGCCACAAAGGGACCAAATGACTTGTCACGTACACTGTACGTGACGAGTTATTTGCTGCTTTAGAGGGCTGTTAACCGCTGAGAATCAGCTTTTAACATTCATTAATGAATGCCCTTACTACAGAGGCATTCATTAATGAAAGGGTTAACCTTTTTCAGACACCCGATACCTTAATATCGGGTGTCTGAGAGTCAAAGCAGAGGGACACACATGCCATCTTTTGTCAAGAGCTTCTATCTGAGCGTTTCCGACTGCTTATCACAGCCACTACCTCATGGTGAGTGCACCTTTTGAGGGGATATATGTGGTATTAACCCTTATCCCCAACAGTTCACGGAACTTCTTTTGAACACCTTTTTTTGAATACTTTTTGAACAGTCCTCTTTGGATTTGACACATCACATCATTCAACAATTATACGGTGGTTGTCACTAACAACAATTGGTCCACATACCCTGTGGGATCAATGATCCAGGGCCAATGATGGTTTTTTAGAAAGACTTTAAGTCACTAATATTCATGTGTGTATTATACTATTATAGTTTATACATTTGAGTCACATATATTTATTTGATTTTATGGTTTATGATATTAACACGTTATATGTTGCGGGCGCTGCATAATTTGAAAGTTTAATATGTGTGGGTGCACTTTGTAAGAAAGTATATTACTGACGTGGAAGAATCACACAGCAAAACTGTCAAAAGTGTGTCAGTCATTTACGAACAGAAACTAAAAACAAGCTCAGTCATGAAGGGGTTAAACTCTCTCAATCTTGTGTTTCCTGCTGATGAACAGAGCTCTCTCTTATTTGAACTGTCCTGGAGGTTGATTCTGGGAAATGTGTTTTCCATCAGAAAGCTTTACATAATGAACATGAACTATTCCAACCCATCATGTTTTTCATTGGCAAAGGGTCTGCCTATTAATTTACTTTTGAACTTTTAATGGCACAGGCCATCCAGGCACCCAATTTGCACCAATAACATTCAGTATAGGGCAGTTCTCTTTACAGCAGTAGCTAATTTGCATAATACAGACACAGGGAAGGAAGACATGTTTGATTTGATTTTTCTAACAATATTCACAACACTAAAACATATTGATGTTTTTAACTTCAAAACACATTGCGCCTTTCATGTCAGTAGTGGATTTTTTAGTGCTACAGATCATGTCTACTTTAGAAGCATCAGCACAGAAAACCAATCACAACCCCAACTACATCAGTCTGTCATATTCTCAGCACGAGCCTCCACTGTTGTGGGTTACAGAGTGCCATACTGCAAAAGGCTGGGCCACTCATACCAAACACTGCTAAGGCCAACTAAGCGTATAGCAGCAGGAGTAATGCAGTGAATCTAATCAAGCCCTTATGCACTTTGCCAACAGCTATTAACCCTTTCGCTGCCAAGCCCTCCGGAACATTTTTCAAATCAGCTGGCCGAGCCATTTTTGAATTTTCTGCAATTTTTTCCTATTGATTTGATTTTCAACTGCTGCGTTGCTAGCGTTTGTAAAAGACCCCCCAAACCATATATTTTCTGAAAGCGCAGGCCCGGTAGAATAAAAAGATGGTGATACTAAATTTGTAGGCCATGCGATAATTGCGCAAATGTTTCTCAAATTAAT